AGGAATACAAAGCAAACAATGTCTAAAATTACAATTAGTTTCCCCCTCTAATCCCTTGTTGTTGTCATGGGGAGGCATAGGAAACAGAGACTGAGGTCCATTGTAGAGGATCACCCCTACCTTGGACCTCAGCCCTCACCTCAACTAATTTTGGATGGTCTCTTCTTCTCCCCCTTTCCTTTCCTTCTCTAGTTCATCATCCCCTTCTGCTGTCCACTTCTTTAAGGTGTGAGAGCTGTGCTGAAAGGATGAAAGGCTGGCTTTATGTCAGTCGTGAACAGCCCCCAGGACCATGGGCATGGTATTCCCTTGGTCAATTACTTAGCCCTTACCCTTCATGGGGACCCTCATGAGTTTCTACCCTTATTAGGGGCATTAAAGCTTGCCCCTTCATAAACTAGTCTATCTGAATTAGATTTCATTGGTTTCCTGACCCCTGTCTTTCCTTTGACCACAGCTCTGGCTGATACTAATACCACTAATATCTCCATACCACCCCATCTTCCTCCTACCCTTGTCTTTCTACTGTTTTCACCTCTACAAACCTTTTGAGTACCCTTTTTGGCCCAGCCAAGGGAGATCAATTCTTTGTGATTCCCCCTACAGCATCGTACTCTGATAATACCCTTCTCTTCCAAAAATGTCTTCAAAAACAGGTAGGCAAAGTTCCTTTTGCAGTCGTTCCAATTGCTCATACCTTGTTACAGTTACATCTGTGTCCCCAAGCTCGTGCACTATCTATACTCACTGACCTCACTAGTTAACCTATTTCTGCCCAGCCTCACTCCTCCCTTGTTCTGGAACTGTTTTCTTCGCTCTGACCAACTGTCCTGTTTATTACAAGGACTATGATGCAGTGGCAGTCCAGTGCTACACTACTCCTCCCAGAGGCTAACAAAAGTCCTACACCAATATTGCCAAGATTAGCTTCCGTAGACATGACCTCCCCCATGAAGTTTATATTAGTGAAGTGTCCTGCCCTGTCCAACCATATCAATCTATTCCCTATCAATGTCAGAAATGTTGGTAATTTGGTCATCCAGCCAAACACTCTCCACAGTCCTCTGCTCTCTATGTGCTCAACCTGGTCATCACCGTTCAAATTGCTCTGCTCAGTCATGCACATGTGCCAGTTGTGGTGGCTCCCATAATGTATTTTATAGAAGCTGCCCTACCTACAAGCTCAAATCTGAGGTAGCAGTTCTCAGATTCAAACCAGGTGTCACTCTATGTGAGGCCAGAAGTAGCACACCAACAAGGTTTTTCTCTTTCTATCTATTCAAAAACTGTACTTCACTCTGCTCTTTTCCCATCTTCTCAAGAAGTCTCAGCATCTCCCCCAGTATCTTTAATAACTCTCTCCCCCAGTCAAATTCCTTTTCCAGCCTAAATCCAGATATTCCAATCTCTACCATTTCCCTGGTACCTACCCCTCCCTCTCCTCCCTCTCTCTTTACTTGTCACACGAGACAATCTAAACATTCCACTCCATCCTCTCCTACCACATCCTCTCCTACACCCACCCCTCCCTCTGCTCCTTGGACATCTATTCCACCTTTGTTTCTCAAACTTCCCTGCTCAACTCCCCTCCAGAAACTTTTGAGGACACCCAAAAGTTCATAAACATAACTCAAGAGAATGATCCACTCCTTCATCCACCCTCTAATCCCTTCATTCACTCTACATTCAAAGTATCTGCCAATATCCACCCTCCTCCTCCTCCTCAAGTTCCCCCCTACTCCTCTTCCTCCCACTCACCCAAAAAACACCCCATCCTTTCCTTCTGCCTATGCATTACCAGTCCCTCTTTCTTCCCTATTATCCTTACCACCCCCACTTTGATTCTCCTTATGTCACAACTATGTCCTTCTGCGGATCCCTCCCTTCCTGACATTCTTCCCAATAATTCACCACCTTTCCCTGTTTCCTTATTTCATTCTCACAATTCTTCTACATCTACAACTATCATTTCTTACCATATTACCCTTTGATGGTTTCATAATAGCTCTTTTGCAGTTGTGTGTTACTCTCCCTTTCTCAGACACATACTTTCCATTTGATCTGATTGCAATATACCTATAACCACATCCCCGCTTACAAATCCCCACTGTATTCCATTTGCTCCCCTTCTATACCCTTTACACTAACATTCTATCCTACAACGTATTACATCATCTTATACTGATTGTTAACTCATTTCCACCTTTTTCACCATATGACCTTTGATGGCTAACATATTTATATCTTTTAACCATTAACCATTAACCACAACTAGCTTTTTGCAGCATCACAATGGCTGCTCAAACACACTGATCCCATACTTTGATTAAAATATAGTGATGATGGTCATATTGAAGATGCATTTAGTAATGATTGATTACTAGGATTAGCTGTTTTGTGTATCCGAAGGTTTGGATATGTTGGACTGATTTTAGGCTTCAATTATCCAAAAGTGTAAACATGGACCTAGAGAAGAAAAGAAAAAAAGGCTTCATAGTATAATTATATTTGTAATTCCAGCTACATGGGTTACATATACTAATATTTTCTATCTTTATTGGTTGTACATGAGTTTGATTCAACATAATAGTAAATCATTTTTTGCAGAGTGGAGGATTTGGTAGATTACACATCTTCTCAACAGACCGTCGAGATGAAATTCTAAAGAAGGTTGAAGATAATGCAAAGAAATATGTTGGTATCAGCATAAATGCCAAGAAAGTGTGTATCACATTACAACAAGCACAGGAACTCAGAGTTGGTAAATACAGGTAAGGATCATTATTGCGATACAAATCCAAAGAAGTGTAGATTGTAGCATTCAATTTAAACATAGTGCAGTGGTTTAATAGAAAATAGGATAAAGAGTTCCAAAGCCTGTTGTATCTTTTGAATATTTCTGTTTAAAAAGATGTGCTTAACTCACTATTGCTGGGGAAAAGCTGTGCTCATTTTTTATTTTTTTTGTGAAATGTCTCTGTACATAGAAGGCTCTGTTTGTGCTTAGCCACAGAGGAGTCAATTAGTAGACCTTGTGACCTTCCCTTATTTCACCTTTCCTTGAATCAACGAAAAAAAACGTTGTTGTTGTTATTTGCTAATGCTCTGAATATCGGTGGTGCTATTTTTATTATAGACATTATAATTACTGTAATGTAATTGACAATAGTAACAGCAATATAAGATAACATAATATATATATATATTTTTTTTTTCTAATACTATGAATATCATTATTATTTTTATTATAGAAATTATAATTACAACAATAAACATTACTAACAATAACATAAGATAATATAATATATTTTCGTAAATCAAGGAAAAGGGTAACAGGTGAGACAGGCAGTACTTGTAACTGGCTCATTGGTGACTTAGTATAAGTGTAGCCATCTATGTGTAAAAACAATTAATAAAGTATACTCACAGTGGGCATAGCATGTACATTCATGCTATGCCCGGTGGCATTGGGTTAATTCTTGTATTGTTACTCTTTCAAATTTAATAATGCACTTTCTTTTTCCAGTGGGGATGAACACATCACATCTCTGTGTGAATTCACAGTCCATAAAGTGAGTCGCCGTCACAATGACCCAGTAAGAAGAACGCTCTGTATTAGTGAATCCTGTTTGTTAGAACGTGACCCTAATTCCTATGCCATTGTCACCTTGAAACCACTCTCGGATATATTTGCTCTAGTCCGCCACCAAGAAAATCCACAAATGCTCACAGTAGAATATGTAAGAGGAGGCAACAGGGTTTATACATCATCTGACCGGTAAGTTTGATCAGGATCTGGATTTCTAGTTTTTTCTGATGTACAATAACTTTGGTTATCTAATGTACAATATAACCCAGGTTTGACCTCAGACCAAATAAAACTACAGCAACATGTTCTATCATATATATAGAAATCTTTAGGAGTAATAACTTATATTTCACCTATATTTCATCAACAGTGATGCCTTATTAGCATCACTGATTGATGGCGTCCGAGCCTCTGGCAACCTAGATGTTCATGTCCGAATGACACCAACTCCAAGAGGGAAGAGGCTTGGTCCTCTCGAAGTTCCTGTAGATGAGGAAGTAGAATCCATGCACCTCAAGTTTATTCAACAGCCTCCTCCTGGATGGACTTTTGCTGAAGCAGTTGAAAGATTTAATGTAAATGTTTCTTATTCTGGGCTGCTACATGCTGTGACTGCTGAGGTATGTATTTTATATCAATTTGGTTTGCTTATATCAAACTGTCAGACTGTTTGTCTTCTTACATTTTGTAATTTTGTTATGATTAACTGTTAAATGCAATTTCAATTTCTAAAGGATATTTGCTACTGAAACTTTCATGAAATTCTTTTTACTTGGTCAGAATCTGAAGTAAAAAATCTGACTTCATATGACAAGACAGAGCATAAATTGAATTTTATTATTGATAACTGGAACATTCATCTTTACAAACAGGGTTTATTTGCTGAAAATAAAGAAAAATTAATAACTGGTGCCTTAGGGGCACTTGTGCTCCGAGAAGGAGATCAAGCAACATTACCAGCTGAAGAAGTTGAGGCACAGTTCCATGCCCTGCGTAGATTAGTTGCATCAAAAGCAGGTTTTGCTTCTCTAACATCACTCCCTAGGTGAGAGATACACAATTTGCTCATTATTCCTCTAAGTTTGGTGTACTGTTTCAGGAACCATTTCATTATTTTGGAACTTTTCTTTAATGTCCAACCCCCATCCAAGGTAAACTTTTAGAATTACACGCAGACCTCAGTTTCACTGACCTACATATAATGGACATCAGAAGTAACAGACAAATTATATATTATTATGTATTATTGCTCTTTTGTAATGTAACTGTTGATACTAGCCCTTTTTTTCAACAACCACAATCAATTAGCAATATCAGAGGATTCCCCCTCCCCCTCAAAAGGACATCATGCCTCAAGTGCTCTATGCACTGCGATGGCATTGACAATAGATGTGTCCAGGAGGTTAAAGAAGATGACTGAGCTTGTTGGCCATCCTTTATCCTGAAATTGCAATCCAACATTATTAACTTGAGCTTGATATGCACAAGCCCATGTCGGCTAGCTGGAAGGGAAACTTTCTTGTTGATGCGGATGGTAAACAGTATTGTGACAGGCTTCTTGTCCACCCAGAACAGACAAAGCATGTCTGTTATTGTGATATGATGTACCACACTATTGCAGATCATGACCTACATTATCTTTGGCATGTACTTCCAGGTACACCAGACAGTGTCTACAGTGTTGGTAGATCTAGACAGTAGATAATGAAAAAGGGTTGTTAGCTGTACCAATTTTCCATGCACAACTTGTAACCTCTTCCAAATATGTCATCAGCATCCATCATGTCCATGATATTGAAAGGAAGTTCTCATGGCCCTGGCACATGTAGATCCAGAATATATAGCTGTACCAAACTCCATCATTAGAGTTGTCTGCATAGAATTAAGTAGACAACACTGTACAAAATGATAGACACAATGAAAGCAGTTGAAGATATCTATACATCCAGGTGTCAACCTTGACCCCTAGCTCAACAGGGAATCTGAGGGATGTCAGAATCCTTAGGACAGTGTGTTCCTGGACAGTGCACAAAGATTGGTGTGTTAGTATCAATTGAACTTTCATACATCTATCATACACTAACTCGAAGTCTTCCTGCTCACTGCTGCTGCCATGCCAGTGTTGCTTATCCTCAACAGCCTCAAAATCTCAGTCAGAATCAGACCCAAGGTTGTCAAGATGACCAGAACAAGAAAGGGGAAGAAGTAGGAAAGGGAAACATGGACAGCCACACAACTCTGTCACAAAAAGACCAAGTATACATTTACCTGGATTCTCTGAGGTCAAAACACAAAAGAACTCACACACCTGTAGTTGGAACATTGTGAACAACTTGAACAAGAAAAGGAGTGACTTCAAAAACATGGTTAACCACACAAACACAAGTTTGGAATGGGCACAATTTCATTAGCACAAAAAGTACAGTTCTATACTTAGCCAAAGACTCATATATGAAAAGGAAAACAGCCACAGTAAGAACTGAAAATAAATTGTGACATTTTGAACTCTTCACAAAATCCTCTTTAGATGAATAGTAAACCAAAATGGATCATCCATTTAGGATTATTATCCATCTGAAGAGGAACTCATGAAGAGTTTGAAATGTCACAATTTATTTTCATTTCTGACTGTGGCTGTTTTCCTTTTCATCTTTGTGTACATGTTACTGTGTTTGTGTTTGTGTCATTCATATATATATATATATATATATATATATATATATATATATATATATATATATATATATATATATATATATATATATATATATATATATATTTATATATATAATTATAGTTATATGTTTCTATTTATATCTGTAATTTAATTATTACTTTTTCAAGGTTCCGAGAAAAAGTGGGCTGGAAAGTAGTTAAGGCACTGCAGAGAAATAATGATGGAATTAATCATGCGGCAATTGATATGCTGTGTGCACTCATGCAGCCCATGCATGACAATCCCGATCTAAAGCAAGAACAGTTGAACAAAGCTTCTCTTCTAGCCTCACCAACATTTCAAGAGAAACTATTGGAAAATTGGGTCCATCATGTGGTAAGAAGTATTAAACTCTCCTCTAATTTGCTTTTGTCCATAGTATTGTATACACTTAAGATTTGTTGGTTACATTTTTATTTAATGATTAGTAAGTGTGATTTTAACCATTCAAAAAGTAATCAGGTATAATTATTGTGCTGTGAATCCCCAGCTACTTCAAAAGTAACCCTATATATATTATGTTTAGTTGTAACTGAGTAGCCTTAACAACAAAATAAAAGAGGAGAAAGTTTTACATTGGAAGTGATTCTAACACTACCTTTTTGTTATCATTTTCAGTCTCATGGAACTGGTGCACTTGTTGTATTGGCGATGTTGGACTTTTTAACTTTCGCTCTCTGCGCCCCATATAGTGAAACAACTGATGGTGCCCACTTTGATCGTTTGTTAGAAATGGTGGCAGATAATGGGAGGTCACTCTACAGGCTCTTCCAGCATCCATCTCTAGCCATTGTTAAAGTAAGCTTGTCTTGTGCCTGCATGGGTGTATGCATGTGTATGCGTGTGTGTAAAGTTCAAAATGTAGTAGGATAGACTAGTTATAGTCTATATGATATGGTAACTGATTGTTACTGCAATGTGCATATACTGCTGCACTGGGCAGCAGAAAAGATTTAGAATTTGCTAAAGAGCAGCAGCAATATGAATGTATTCAGATCTGTAACAGATTATTATTATTATTATTATTATTATTATTATTATTATTTCAAAAATGTATTCCCCTTTACCGAATGTGATTAAAAATTCAAAAATATTATCTTAGGGTGCAGGATTGGTAATGAAGGCTGTTATAGAAGAAGGTGAAGGTGACATTCCAGCTCGTATGCAACTCTTAGCACTAACAGAAGGAGCTCTGCCTAGACATCTGTACACTGCACTCTTCACTCAAACATCAGATGGCAGACTCCTCACTCATCGTCAGCTTTCACGCCATCTTGTTTCCCTGTGGGCAGCAGAAAACCCATCTGCAGTTGATCTTTTAGGACGGACAGTGGTAAGAGGAGAACTCGAACTTGTCTTTTATTCTGCATCTGTACAAATGGCTACTTAATATGTTAGTTTTTGGCTGTGAATTGTATATATATGTGTACTTTGGATGGGTAATGGGTTGAAATTTATTAAATGAAATATCAGACAAAAGGAAAATTTAAGGTCAGATCAAGTTTTGAAATTGCTTTAAGAATTGAAGGAGGTAGTAAGATTGGGAAATTTTTCATATGAATTTAAAGTTACTAGTTAACCCAGATTAGATGGGTATAGCATGTACATATATGCCATGCCCACTGTGAGTTTACTTTATTAAATGTTTTTACATATAGATGACTACATTTATACTAATTCACCAGTGAGCTAATTACGAGTACTGTCTGTCACGCCTGTTTACCCTTTTCCTTGATTTTTGAAAATATTATAATGTTTTCTTAAATTGCTGTTACTAATGTCAGTAATATTATAGTGATTATAATGTCTGTAATGAAAATAACACCATTGATACTCATAGCATTAGTTAAAATGCTATGAATATCCAATATGCCAATTCAAGGAAAGGTGAAGTAAGGTCACAAGGTCTACTAATTGACTCCTTTGGGGCTAAGCACTAGCAGAGCCATCTATGTGCAGAGACATTTCACACACACATACACACACACACACACACACACACACACACATATAGCACAGCATTTTCCCAGCAGAATTAAATTGAGATTGTATAACTGCATTGCGTGAATGATAGGTAAACTTTGTGTTTTGTAAAAAGGAAATAATCTTACAGGTCAAGAGAAAAAGCAGAAAAGTGAATGGTTTTCTCTATCTCTTATATTCTATGCATTTTCTCCAGCCACCAGGTCTTTTAGCCTTCTTGGAGAGCAAGGAAACTGTGCCATTAGATGACATAGATCGTTTGAACACAAGGGATAACCTAAAGATTGCAGAAGATGATGAGGAAAGAAATAAGAAAAACCAAGTTTTAGAAACCTTGGACAGAGCATATAAGACATCCGTCAAAAAAGTAGAAAGTTTGGTGGAAAAGCACATGGATGTAAGTACATAGTCTTTGTATGTAGAGATTTGCTGTTGTTATTATCATTATTATTATTATTATTATTATTACTATTATTTGTTTTTCTGATTGTTCCCTGTTAAAATGAAGAATGCATCTCTTTGGTGTTGACAATGGTAGAAATACTTGTAGTGTTTATCTCCCAGATGCTCAGTTTCATATCTTTATTATCTGTGGCTTATATAAAAAAAATAGTTGATTAAATTTTGTGATTTATGTTTTTATTGTAATTTATTATTTGATTGGAGAATGATTGTCACTTTATGAGTATTATAGAAATAAGATCAATTTAATGGACAACCAATAAATTTTGAGATTTTTTAAACCATTTGATACATTTTTTAGTAATTTTATGTTATTAGATAAATGTAAATATGTAAAAATTCTCTCTCTCTCTCTCTCTCTCTCTCTCTCTCTCTCTCTCTCTCTCTCTCTCTCTCTCTCTCTTCTATCTCTATCTCTATCTCTATCTCTCTCTCTCTCTCTTATCTCTCCCCTCTCTCCCTCTCTCCCTCCCTACCTCCCTCTCTTTCCCTCTCTTTCCCTTCTCTCTCCCCTCCCCTCCCCTTCCCCCCCCTCTCTCTCTCCCTTCTCTCTCTCCCCCTCCCTCCCTTCCCCCCCCCCTCTCTCTCCCTTCTCTCTCCCCCTCCCTCCCCCTTCCCCCCCCCCCCCTCTCTCTCTCTCTCTCTCTCTCTCCTCTCCTCTCTCTCTCTCTCTCTCTCTCTCTCTCTCCTCTCTCTCTCTCTCTCCTCTCTCTTTTCTTTCTCTTTTTCTCTACTCTTCCTCCATTTTTCAGTCTCTCTCTTTCTCTCTTCCCTTTTTCTATATCTGTCTCTCTATTTATCAATCTTCATTCTCATTTTCTTGCTCTTTCTCACTCTCCCTCCTTCCCTTTCTTCCCCTTTATCTCTCTCTCTCATTCATAGTTGTCCTCTTGCATCTTTCCAAGTCAGCAAAACATTAGCAGTCATTGCATAATGCTATATGCATATAAGGGATGATCCACATGTTCCCCTCTCTCACACTCCATTACTAAGCAGCATGTAAGCTTGTTCAATATTTGACCTCTCTTATCCCCATATAAGTCTGCCTCATCTTTGCACCTCTCTACCTCTTCCTTCACAAGATACCAGCACCACATTCCACTCTGAGTTACCTTTTAAATAAATGGATTTAACTGTTGGCAGTGTTTGTAAATCACTCAAATCAATTGCCTGTGTAACACTACCACTAACCTACTTGCTACATTTCTGTGGCCAAAGCCCCCTAAGCAAACTCACAGGATGCCAGGAGAGGTCAGGGATTGATCTAGCTTGCTGGAGGCTAAGCAGAGTGTTTGAGAGAGAGAGCCATGTGAGTCATCACCTGTATGGATGCCCAATGCCAATAAATGGAGCTAGTGGAAAATGTCAGTCTTGTGACCAACCAGTGTAGGGGCCAGCAGCAGCACGGGTTTAACCATAGGGTCTGATCATCATTGCATGACTTATAAGGCTTGTTTAATCCATTGGATCTGGATGCTCCACTGCCATCACTCTATCATGGCCCAAAGTGCAGGAATTATTCTTACTTGATCAACCACTCTGATGGTTGTACAGCTTATAGGCTGAGCACACACACAAACACTCATGTGCAGTGACAAGACTCCATGCTTTCCCTTTGCAATGTTATTTTCTCTTTTTCTGTATAATTTTTTAATTTTTTTTTCGCCATTTTCCAATGTCCATATTTGTTATTTGATTTGCTTTATCCAGATGGTAATAGAAGTTTTCCTTGCACAGACTCAATATCATCTCTCGAGGTAGTCCATAACTCAGTGCAATGATAATAATAAGAAAACATTTTGTTATTAGTGTAATTCTTTTATTTTTTATACTATTCACTTTTCTGTAATACAACCTGTGCCAACAATCACAGCAGGCAGGAATAAGATCCTTAGCATGGAAATAACTTCCTCCCTGGAGTAGGCTCACAAATACTTCACAGACAGTACATTCCACACTCTTTTATCAATATAAATAATGCAAAAGACCCTTCTTAAATCCAAGATGAGTGTAATTGCCTTCCAAGAGCTTTGTGCACTTGTGGTGAGTCATTCCTGTTACCCCAGCCAAATTTCCCGTGACAGCATGTTCACTTCACCTGCCCTTCAAGCCAAATTTTTTCATGACATGATGGTCATGTCATCTAGATCATAGGGGTTAATATTGCAAGAGGACAATCATACTTCCTCCCTCTCCCTTAACTATCCCATTTTCTCTATATCTTTCATTATATATAAGCCTAATTTATCTAACTAAAATAATGGTAAGTCATGTGTATCTTGCATCTCTTTCTGTGTCTTGTAAAAAGAATTAAATGTCATATGTTCTCCCAGTTTGTACATTGAAACTTTTATGTTAGTGAATGTCCACCTTGATATATTTTTGTTGTCACGTGAGTGTGCTTAAAGGAATGTTTTTCTTTGTTTGAGGTTAACTATGATTTAGTGCTTCTTGTATTTTGTTTTACATGCAATGTCTGTTTTCTCCTAAAACACACCAACCACATTTCTTCCACATCATTTGACGAAGCAGAAGATAGAGACGGTGGAAAAATGTTTACAAACAGGAGCCAAACAAATGGAGGCTTACTACGAAGCATACCTCGAGAAACATGTGGATGTAAGTACATGTAACTGTTAGGTGATGGGGTTTGCAAGCTAATAGTGTAGCTGTTGTGGATAGTGGCTGTTTTTTCTTTTCTTTTCTTTTCTTTTCTTTTCTTTGTCCACCCCCACCCCCCATTTTTTTAAGGATTAGATATTTTGTCATTTCTCTTTTTTCTTTTTCCTTACTTTTTTCAAATTTGGATAACAAATGTTTTCTATGAATTGTTATTTTTTTAGTAATAATTGGATCTCCTTTTAAGGGGTTAGGATTTTCAGGCCCTCAAATTGTACAGCAGTTCTTTGTAGCAGTCCTGTAGGATTGTAGTTGGAAGGGTATCTGTCCACTGTTGTTCTCACTCTTTTTTTTTTTTTTTTTTTTTGTAATGCTGATTTTTTTCTCCTAACTAAAGGATATGCCATATACAGTGAATAACCTTTGTAGAAAAAAAAAATTATTATATCATTGAGAAAGATTTTTTCACTTCATTTTCTTGGTGCTTCATCAGGAATGGGTGAGTTTCTTTTTTAGTTTAATGTATCACAGATAGAATATCAATGGGTAAACCATACCATCCTTAGAAACTATTTCTTTATCTTGCCAGAAGCTTTGTATTTTATAAGAATATTTTAAATTTATCTTCTAGTTTATCATCTTTTTTATAGCTCCTTCTATGGTATCTAGATAAAAAAGAGAAGTTTTCTTTTATATGTTAATCATTTCAAATTAACAACTATATAGCTAGAACCAGTACTGCAGTGGTAACAATTATCAAGTAAAATGAAATGTCAACAAATCATCAAAAGAGGGTGATCTATCAGTATGCATGTTCTCTTTAGGGGGATTGGCTTTAGTCTTTGCAGGTTAGTTGAAAGGAATTGAATGTAGTCAGCATTAGTAAGATTTTCTGCTGCCAAGCAATTCAGCAACATATCTTTAGGAATAGGAATGAATACTTCATTTGTGATCATTTTTGTTTTCAAGGTGTGTATATGTTGGTTTAGCATAATTGTTTGATGTTATTATATGATAAATACACAAAACACATTAGCATGCATTAGCATATTAAGGAAAAAACACCCATTATTTTAAGGTTTGGTCAGAAAGTGTACTTACTCTGCAAGGAGTATATTTCTTGGCATTTTACAAAGGGAAGAAAAAGAAAATTGACAGTACTGCTTTGGTATTGTTCAGAATACTTAATGTATTTATATATTCTACAATTTGCACATGGCCCTACATGTGTTTCATGAAGTAAAAGAACTTAGCTATATATATATTATATATATTTATATGTATATATATATATATATATATATATATATATATATATATATATATATATATATATGTATGTATATATATATATATATATTTATTTATTTATTTATATATATATATATATATATATATATATATATATATATATATATATATATATATATATATATATATATATATATATATTTCTGAACATTATTTAAAAAAGAAACTAGATATTTGATATTTGTAAGATTAGTATTAGCTACCATGGTACTCTTTTGTATCCCAAATATTTCTCCTCTGCCTCATTAGGATCGGGTGAGTTTTCTAAGCAGTTTTTGTGACTGAAGAGAAGATGGAATAGTTTGATTTACAGACTTCTCTAATGCATCTTGGTAGATTTTGAAGAACACACGGAAACATCTGCCAGTCATAGTTCTCAGACAGACTTATGGTGGATGATGGTCTTTTGTTACTTCGGGCATGCTTTCCAATAGACACTGCTATTTTTGATGTCACAAGGAGACTTCAGATATATTGTGTCTCTAAATTACAGAACTTGTGTACTTCTGCTAGGTTGTCTCCACTTTTTTTGTAAGGAGAAACCAGTTCAGCTTGGGAAATTATCATTATGTATGTTCATGATCTTCTAGAAAAAAATGCTTATCAGTGGTCATATTACCATAAGAGAAGAGAGCTAGCAATGAATTTCTGAATAATATTTGAAAGAAAAGGAGTACTGTGTTCATAGATCATATCCCATGATTTGTCATTGTCAACATTAAGTTTCATTTCTTCTGTTGGTGGGTCTCTTTGATCTGATCTTTTTTTTAGAGAAATAGTTTTTAAAAATATAAATATTTCTCTTTTTTCATGTAGGAATATAATCTGATTATAGTATATGGGTTTATAGATGAAAGAAAGAAAAACAAGAATAATCACACTCATAGGTCAGCACTAAGTATTTGTCTCTAATAGCTGAAGGCATAGATAGTAACCTATGAATGCATTGCTATATTTAGGAATTATTATGAGAATTGCTGTCAAAGTGCGTTTGTATAAATTTTCATTTACTCATGATATTTTTCTATTATTAGAATTACCAGGAAGCTATAATTTCATAACATTTTAGTGGCATTATTTAGTGGTAACATTTATTTTATTTGTAGGTAATTATATGTTTCTCCTTTTCCGTTTACTTTGTATGAATTATGAATTTCTCTGGGTGTTCTATTAAGGGTTTAAGTCAAATGTTCATTATTAGGTTTTCAATAGCCAGTCAGTGGTTTCACATAGTCAGATTTTTAGTTATATAGAAACATACCAACATTGTATCACATGTGTCAAGCATTGTGGAATTCTTTTTAGTAATATATTTCACATGTAGATTTTTCATTGTATTCAAAGACGTACACTAGAAATTAAGTTGTAAGTTGAATTTACCTCATTTTTTCATGATGTAACTCAAAAACAAATAAATGACATAGTAAATGAACAAAGGACAAAAAAGATGTGCATGTTACAATTATATCATAGGTATGTAAGAATGACTAGAATATTGTTGAGTTGACTTCATAAAGTCACGAGGCAAATGTCAGCAGCATGCTATTTGTCTGGAAAATGTAAACATAATTTATTGTTAGTTTGTACAGTTTTTAGTCCTTTTGTACATAAAAATTGCTTTTTATTTTTATACAAGCATGTTAGTTTGCATGATTTTTCTTGTTTTATGTTAAAAATAATTAGATCATCAAAGTGTTTCATGTTTTTTATGTTTGTTATGTATATCTTCTCTGTTTTAGTTTGCTAGCTTTTATAGTGTCAAATGTGGCAAATGTATCCTCAGGATAATTACATGCTAATTTTTGCACTCATTTGCCTAGCATATGATTGTAATGACTTATTTTATGTTATTTATAATTTTTTCCTTTTTTCTTTTTTTTTTTTTACACAATGGTTATTATGATTACAATCTTGCAGTTTGCCTTACAACATTGGCGTTCTCGAATGAAGAAGGAAAAGTCAGTCGAGGAGAAATTCAGAGAGCGACCACTAGTGCTGCGCAAAAGAAGAGAAAAGTTAAAGGCAACAGCAAATTGGCCTTTATTCTATTACAAATTCAACAGGGATCATGCTCTTCCCAATTTGATTTGGAATTACAAAGTAAGTGCTTAAAAGATCAGATAAGTTCAATATTTCTGCCATGAGAAGAGGGAAACCTTAGTATGTATAGGTTTTATTTTCTCATCAAAAGCACAATAGTAAATCTGCATGAAAGCTACTGCTGTTACAGCATAGTTTAATTCAATACCATAGTATTGTGCAATCAAAATTTTAAGTCATGCCAACCAGAAGCTTCAAGGGCATTTTAATGTGAAATCTTTATTCCAACTTCTCTATATCTAGCAACATTCATCTTTTGTAGACACGAGAGGAATTGCGTGTAGCCTTGGAAGCAGAGATACGTGCCTTCAATGAGGATCGTGACGTGCGAGGAAACATGGTTATTGCATGGAACCACCTGGAGTTTGAAGTGAGACTTGAAGATTTGTTGTTGTTTAGCTGTCATTTTCTAGATATCTAGTGCAGTAATATTTGTTGTGAATTTAGGGTCATTGTATATTTCATAATCTGTTCTTCATGTGCAAGGCAGAGTTTAACATATTTTTATTTATGTCAAAGAAGATGGTAAGTTATGTGATGTTATTTATCTTAATTTTTCTTGAATTTTGTTGCAGGTTAGCTACCCATCACTGAAAGATGAGATTAAGATTGGTGACTATTATCTGAGAATCTTACTGGAGCAGGAAAATAGTACTTCACCTGAGGATTCTCCCATTAGAAGATCGTAAGATCCACGTTATTTTGGGTTGTGCTAAGAGAAAATGGAAGGGAACTTGATGCATAAATAATTTTGTTGTACTGTCATTTGGAAAGTTAAAAAGATATTGGTGGAAAAATCATTACTGCATAAAGGTTTTAAATAAGCCAAAACTTTGTACAGACTAACAGTCAGTTTTCTGGCATTATCAGGGACTGGAGAGTGCTGGAAAACTGATTTTACAGATACCTAATTGATTCATTAATCCATTAATGGGCTTACATATCCACTGAGATTTTGGTTTATTAATTTTATTTACACATATATACTTAGACACCAAGAGACTATAGTGTCTTCAGTAATCTCATGGATGACAGTTGTGGATTCTTTGAATACTGAATTGAAAGAAGACACTAAACTTGGGAAAGCTAATCCACCCATTTAATTATCATAGATCATTCGACCAACCATGCCAGCTACCCCATTACCCTATATTTCTAAAAAAAAAAAAGAAAATAGAAAATCCAAAAATATTCTTTCCAATAGCATATACTGTTATTAATGTAATCAGTAAGAGATATAATTATGGACTGATAGATACTCCATTGCTGTTTACCAACCCCTAACCCTCTTTGGGTTCTCCTAGCTCCTCCACATTACCTCTACTTGGCTCTTATTTGACTTCATTGCAGTCAACTAGCTTGCCACACAAATGAATTAATCTATGAGTAGGGACTCTAAGTTACATCATCCTCATTTTCATCACTTCTTTCCTGTCCAAGTGCTTGCATCTACCTGTACAATTTCTGAGTCAGTATAATGATGATGAACAGTAGATCCACTTTCATCAGCATTTGTGCATTCTCATATTCACAGGATCCATGACTGAGGCTAAATATCAGTAGGTTATGATAAAAATGCACAACTGAGTGAACCAGATAACTGAATACAGGATAATTGATTGTTAGCTAGTATTTAAAACTAGTAACCAGTTATTTTACTTTTGCAGATATGAGTTTTTCAATGACCTGTACCATCGCTTTCTGTTAACACCAAAAGTGACTATGAAGTGCCTGTGTTTGCAAGCCATGGCCCTTGTTTATGGACTACATCACAGTGATATTGGTCCCTTTAATGATACACGTTACATTGTTACCATGCTGTCACGCACTTGTGATAAATTAGAGAGAGACAGATTACTCCTTTTCCTAAATAAGGTAAGGAACATTCAAACTAGCCAAGTACTGCATATTCATGCATCACCTTTAAAGAGTATTATATATTAATGCTAAATGATAGTGTTTGATAACTACAAAATTATTTTTAAAAATATTATGTTGTAATTTTTTTCTTTAGCTTTTGGCTCTATGGTTTAAGTGATAACATTTTGTTTGTCAACAGCTGATTCTTGAGAAGGCCAATGTCCGGGAGGTAGTGGAAGCTGGTGGAGTGCGCATCCTCTCTGATCTCCTAACTCTCGCCCACCTTCACGTCAGTCGTGCTGTAATGCCCACCCAGTCAAATGTAATTGAAGCTTCCCCAGATATGGCCAGAGACACAGAGAAGGAATGGTACTATCAGGTTAGTACATTTAAATCTAGAGTCAGTGATTAAATTGAAATCTGTCTTGTGAATTTTTGATATGCAGCTCAGAAAATTTGTCATCTTAAGATGTATGGTACAGTTGCTTGTATTGCATATAAAGATATCTGGCACAGTTTATGGGTTAACTAAACTAAGCAGAATAAATCTTTTGACTAGTTTGCCTGACTACAAAGTACACATTATAATGATGTTCTTTGGTTCAGGGCACCAACAAAGAGCGTGCTGGCCCCTTCAGCTTCAAGGAACTGAAGGACTTCTGGGCAGATGGCACACTCTCCTTGAAGACCCTATGTTGGGCGCAAGGCATGGATGGTTGGCATCCACTAAATAACATTCCTCAGTTGAAGTGGTCGTTGGCTGCTACGGTGAGTGGTTTTGATTTTTTTTGTCTCGCCCAAATTCCATTGGTTGTGGGAGATCTATTTTCTTTATAAAATCACACTAGCTAGAAAATAAGATTTTGAAAATCAAATTTGTGCATAAACTTGTTTTAGGACTGAAATACATGAAACTGTAATAAGTTGTATAACACCATTTTTGTACTTAAGAAGATTTCTAGATTTCTAGATTTTATTGGAAACAATTCTTGTTCTACACAGGGTAATGCAGTAATGACAGAAAGTGACTTAGCCACCCTCATCCTGAATATGCTCATCACCATGTGTAGATACTTCCCTTCACGAACAGAGGATGGAGCTGTGATAAGACCTCTTCCACGTATCAAGAACTTACTATCTACTCCTCTCTCCATGCCACATATTGTTCAGTTGCTGCTCACATTTGATCCAATATTAGTGGAGAAGGTGAGGAACTGCTCTATTAGTATTCTTCATGAATGTGTGAGTTACATGCAAATAAGTGTTTTCCCTTGTTCTCTTTCTGTGAAAACTTATATATTCTGTTTATCTCTTACAGGTGGCAACTCTTCTAGTAGAGATTATGCAAGACAATCCTCATCTGTCCACTATTTATACAACAGGAGTCTTCTTCTTCATTCTTATGTACATGGGATCCAATGTTTTGCCTATTGGACGCTTTCTTCACATGTCTCACATGCAACAGGCTTTCAGAGCTGAAGAGGTATGAATATAGAATAGACAGTAAGAGAGGATAAGAATATAAGTATTTTTTCAAGTACATTAACCCATCCACACCAGGCAACCTCCTGTTGTATCAAGAGTCCCACCTAATCACATCATGAGCCCCTTCTCAGTGGCTGCAATGATGAATTACAAGTTCTGCACCTGAACTGAACAACATTCCTGGTGCAGTGTAGTACTTGCTAACCACAGCCATGGCAAACTTTGTCCAGAGTTTTTCCTGTCATGAATGGGTTATATGAAATGTGCTGGATATGTTACAAAACATTCTGTTTGATTATGATTTTGTTTTGTCTTTTAGAACCTGGGTGGTGATATTATGCAGCAGAGCATACTGGGTCAGATCCTACCTGAGGCCATGGTGTGCTACCTGGAAAACTATGGTCCAGACAAGTTTGCTGAGATATTCCTAGGAGAATTTGATACACCAGAGGTCTGTAGATGCCCCATATGTACATTGTGTGTGTGATACAAAAAATAATAAAGTAGGCAATTTTATTGAACATTCTTGCAATAAGATATTTATCTAAGTATTCTAGTTAGCATTATTAACCTTCCTCAGGTAATATGGAGTAATGAGATGCGAAGACTAATGATTGAGAAGCTTGCTTCTCACCTGGCTGACTTCACTCCAAGATTGATGAGCAATAATCGGGCTCTGTACCAGTACTGCTCCATTCCACATATCACTTACCCACAGCTTCAGTATGAACTTTTCTGTGACATTTATTACCTGAAGCATCTGTGTGATATTGAGCGCTTCCCAGACTGGCCAATTAAAGATCCTGTAAGTAATTTTTTTTTTAGTTTTTTCATTATTATTTAATTTGTTGCTTGTACAGATATACCTCATCTTAGCATAGACTATATTTTGTATGGTCTCCACAAATGATTGCAGTTAGAGTATTCATATTATTTTAAGAGGGGAAATATGCATATATTTATATCAGATAAAAGTGTTCAAAATGCTAGGTTGATTGTAATTTAGTTGCTTTAAATATGTATTTTGCAAAATTTATATTACTGAAACACTTGTCCTCAAATGTTATAAATTTTATAGGTTGCACTTCTGAAGCGAGTCTTAGCAGCCTGGAGAAGTGAAGTGGAAAAACAGCCATCAACTTTGAGTGTCGAAGATGCTTACACAGAATTAGGCCTAGAGCAAGATACACGTCACGATGATGCCAAAATACGCAAAGCCTACTTTAGGCTGGCCCAGAAGTACCATCCAGACAAGAATCCTGATGGACGGGTGATTTAAATTCTTTTCTATTCTCTTGTATATGTAGGCAGAACAATCCTTTTACTTTTTCTTTTTAGCATCTTTATTTCGTAAAACATTTTTAATAATTATTTTGAGTGCCACACACTCTATACCAAGAGTAAAAATGATGATTAAGCAAGATTCATGGTAGGTATCTTTTAAACTAAAAATTCTGTGAGAGTAATGCATTATGTCAGTCTTATAAAGAATTTCTGCTTTGCTCTTAGTTTCTGAAGAATGTATGAATTTAGATATAAATTTACTAGTATTTCTACAGTGTACCTGCTTACATACAGGTTTAAGTATCTTAAAACAATTGAGGAAAAATTATATTTGATTTTAACTTTCTTTAAATCTCTTTTTATTTTATAAATTTGTAATTGAATTAAACGGTGTCAAGAATTGTTCTTAATTTCCATTTTTTCTCTTTCTTATTTTTTCCAGGATAAATTTGAGCGTGTGAATAGAGCATATGAGTTTCTGTGCAGTAGATCAGCACATTCTGTGGATGGCCCTGATCCCAAAAATATTTTGTTAATCATTAGAACACAGAGCATCCTCTTCTCAAGATATAAGGATGGTAAGCATATTTTGAATCAAAATTAGTTTGTCTAATGTACTGTTATACTATAGGCAGATAGTTCTAGATAGATAGAAGTGTGCGTGTGTCTGCATGTGTGTGTGTGTGCGTACGTGTGCGTGCGTGTGTGTGTGTGTGTGTGTGTGTGTGTGTGTGTGTGTGTGTGTGTGTGTGTGTGTGTGTGTGTGTGTGTGTGTCCGTGAGAGAGAGAGAGAGAGAGAGAGAGAGAGAGAGAGAGTGTGTGTGTTTGTGTGTGTGTGTATGTGAGTGAGTGTGCGTATGTTTGTGTGTGTGTGTTTGTTTTCTTCGTGCTGATCATAAGATTTTCCTGCTTCAGTGTTGGCGCCTTACAAGTATGCGGGATACCCAATGCTAATCAAGACCATCCAGTTAGAGGCCGATGATGAGCAGCTCTTCAGCAAAGAAACATCCCTCCTAGCAGCAGCTGCAGAATTGACTTACCACACCATTAACTGCTCTGCTCTGAATGCAGAAGAGCTGAGAAGAGAGAGGGGATTAGAGGTAGTGTATGGTTTCTTTCTTTCTTTTCATTGTATAGTTATGTTGCTATTTTCCTATATTTTATTAATTACAAAAATCTATATTTTCTTTTCTGTTCTAGGTGCTTCAAGGTGCATACAACCGCTGTGTAAATGTGCTAAATGCTAGCAGCAAACCTGGTGATGTTGCAGTACAAGTTTGTATCAATATTGCACGTTGTTATACAGCTGCCGCATCCTTCCCCATGTGCCGCGAGAAGCTCATCGAAATGTCTCACTTTATCAAGGACCTGTGCCACACACTCTATTTCAAGGTATGTAGGCCATGGTATACATAACTTGGAGATCATGCAGATGTATGATGAATACTTATAGATAAGACTTGTACTTTACATAGAAAATAGATGTTTATTGCCTTGTTAGGAGATGGAGGAGTTTATGGCAGAGATACGGTCTCTGTTAACCTATGTGTGTGTGTGTTGAATTGTAGTACAGGTTTTTATGCATTTGTTTAAGATTTTTGTTGTGTACACTTCAGGGATTTTACATTTATAGATAGCTTGTTCTTATGTTTCATATTCTTTCATGTTTCTTTGCTATATCTGCAGTAGAATTTAGACTGATATCAGTTTCTTCTCACAGTTGCAACTTCCCTTATACTGAGTGATTATTGTTTTGGTCTCAGCATGGTATTTTTGAATCAAAAAAATAGAAATGGAAGAGATATACATTGTTCTTCACAGTAAGCCTAAGGGAAAAACAGTTGAGAAATAAGTTATTTGTGTGGATCAGAGAGCATTGTGAAAGTTGTAAATATAACTATTTCCCTTTACAATTATCCATCACAAAGCCAGTTTTTTTTTCAGCTTCAGCTATTGTGCAAAAGGTAGAATCAGAATGTACCATAAATATAACTTTCAAGGTATTTCTTCTGTCTGATATTAAAAGTTGATATCATAATCAATATTACTATGAAAGGCTTTCATAAACTAAACTTTAAATGTTGAAGAATACTGTCAATCAGAAATATATATATGATACGTATAAACTATCCCTTACCCAATGCTGCTTGGAGAATGTAGTATTCACAGCATTATTATTATGTGGAAAGTCTCTACACATAGATGGCTCCACAAGTGCGTTGCCACCAAGGAGTCAATTAGCAGGCCTTGCTTGACCTCACCTTTCCTTGAGTTTTTGAGAAAAATTGTTTTCGTTACAAATACTACCAATATCAGTGTTGTTATTATCTTTATAGGCATTATGATTGTTATAATGTTATCAACATTACTAATAGCATTATCAGCTAGAACAAAATATTTCTGGAAATCAAGGAAAAGGGTCAGCAACTAAGATAGGCAGTATTAGTAATTGACTCATTGGTAACTAAACACTTGTGGAGCCATCTGTGTGTAAAGACAAATAATGAAATAAACAATGAGCATGGCATGTCTGTACATGCCATCTCTGGCAGCTATGGGAAAGATGATTGGCAGTTTTTCATGATCTTTTAAAAATTTAGTAGAAAATCATAAAGAATTAGGAAATAATATGAACTTTAAGATGTATAGGTGACCCTTTTTTAAAGTAGCTCAGAACCACTCCTAAATGAAAATATGTGATTTGGAAAAAAGGCTTCATAACCCATCTATCAATATTTTTCTCCACTGTGACAGGTTTATTGGTTCCTTTGATTGATATTAGCAGGGCACTTAATGCTGGCTCAGGATGAGAGGATTAGAAAAGAAATGTTAGTGTTATGACAGGGAGTGATTAGAGAGAGATACAACTCTTATGAATTCATAATAAAGCATATTCTTGTAAGAGCACATGATTACAAATATATTTGATTGAAAGATAAAACAAGTTACATTTAAGTTATGAGGCCTGAAAAGTCTGCATAAAAATTACCCATTCTTGTATTACTCTCAGTGAATATGAGTATGAAGATTTCAGGTATTCTGTATTCATGCATGCAATTAGCTTTATAAGTTGATTTATTTACTGTTATTT